ATTTGTGACCCTGGACCACAAAACCAGTATGAATTCGCTGGGGTATATTTGTAGCAATAGCCAAAAATACATTGTATCGGTCAAAATTATTGATTTTTCTTTTATGCCAAAAATCATTAGGATTATGAAGTTACATTCATACTCAAGTTCTAACGATTAAACTTCAACTTCAGAGTATGCTACAATTAATTTTGGGCCCCATGAAATCCATTTTATTTTCCCTAAATTCTGTTTACTATTTAATTTTTTTCTGCATTCTTTGTTTTATGATTGAATACAAATGTATCATCAAAAATTGTGTCTAATGAAACAAATAAATAAAACTTTAACAACTTAATCATTTTTAAATGTAATTTAATGAAAATGAATTCAATTATATTTGCATTTATTTATTTAGTCCAATAATATGCTGCACAACAGAACTGCATAAATAAAAACATTAACACACTTGGGGCATTTTTTCCAAAAGTTGCCGACGATGTTCACTTCCTTAAGATCATATGATAAGCTGAAGAAATATATGAGAAAGTTGTGGCAATTATCGAAATTAGGATCATATTTGTGACCCTGGACCACAAAACCAGTATGAATTCGCTGGGGTATATTTGTAGCAATAGCCAAAAATACATTGTATCGGTCAAAATTATTGATTTTTCTTTTAAGCCAAAAATCATTAGGACATTAAGTAAAGATCATGTTCCATAAAGATATTTTGTAAATTTCCTACTGTAAATATATCAAAACTTAATTTTTGATTAGTAATATGCATTGCTAAGAACTTAATTTGGACAACTTTAAAGGCGATTTTCTCATTATTTAGATTTTTTTGCACCCTCAGATTCCAGATTTTCAGTAGTTTTCAATAGTTGTATCTCAGCCAAAAGTTGTCCTATCATAACAAACCATACATCAATGGAAAGCTTATTTAGTTAGCTTTCAGATGATGTATAAATCTCAATTTAAAAAAATTGACCCTAATGACTGGTTTTGTGATCCAGGGTCACATTTGAGCTCTCCAGGTGTACCAGAACCCCTTAATTCCTTAATCCATATAATGTTCCTGATCGGCTGGGAACAGAGTGAGATTGGGTTTCCTCTGGTAGTGAACAGGTGCTGGAGGTTAGAGGTGACACTGTGGCCTTCTGACAGGACCATGGTGTCGTATGGGACAGCTGAAGCCCTGTCCCCAACCTTTACAGCACTTAAAGCCTGAACTTTATAATTCTGAATGTTAAAATGGACTGCTTCCTAATGCTTATATTAATTTTTTTTGAGTAAAGGATAATTTAACCCCTTTGATTCTCTATTTTTACTTTTTTAGAGACTAAACGAAAACAAATATCTGTTGACTTTTCAGTGTAAGCAAATATAGGCTATGAAACCATAGTGTGTACTTTAGAGAGGCTGTTAATAGTAGGGGTGTGTTCTGTGTGCTCAGATTGATTTGCATTCCACATCATTATTGCAAATCATATTCAACCCTGTTCATCCAACAGAACTGAAGAGTATTCAATTTAGATTCTTCAGAAGATGAGCTGCATATAAATCCAACACAAACTCCACCACACTTTGTTCTCATTTCCATACGATGCTGACAAAGTGACAAATTCTCACGTGGCACTCATGTGTTTCATGCATCTGCCAGTCATATCTGATTACACTGAGTTTTTGAGTCACAATTTGAATCTTTTTTAGGACTGAAAGTGACTCGGAAAGAGTCATGTGAAAGCTAAAATGAAATCTAATGAGTATGTTAAAAAATAATAATTTCTTTAATTATATTCCAGCTGGCTTGTCTATCTGTTGCCAGGGACACATGCAAATCTGACCTCTGGGGCATGTCGACCTTTGTCAGCGGGCTGAAGGAGGAAGGCACGTGTTTCTGAGCACTAGTGAACACTTTACAGTGGGAAGACAGCCAGATCGTGTCTATTCTGGGCAAACTGGGCACACATACAAAGAGCTGAAACGATCGAAATGGAGAATCGGATTCTTCACTAAATTCGGTTAGGTGACCTCAAACTCATTCTCCAGCCTCACTATCACTTATCTTTTGTTTAATGTTAAATAAAGTGGTTTTCTACACTGAAATGCATTACAGTGTGACTGTAAGTCCCTCTAATGACGCACATAGGAATAATTGAGGAACAAAAGTGAATCACCACTGCTTATTCATTATGAAGAAATTTCACTTCTGGAGGATCTTTTTTTTTATTATCAGTAGAGGTTATGTTTATTGTGATTATGTGTAGTTGCTAACTCTCACTGATTATCTGAAGATGGATTTGAAACGGTCTTCAGCTAGTGAAACCTTTCAAACAAACGCTGGGACTTTTTTTTATGCACCTGGAAACAAGTCTTGAAATGTATACTGTTATAAAATGGAGTACATCTTTTGTTTTACAGCCTCAGTTGTTTATAAAACCATTAAAATCGTTCTGGCTGAGCCCGGTCAGAACCTGACAGACTCAAAAGTGGCTCTTTTATTAGCTTTTGACAAACAGCCAAGACAAAGAGAGAGAGAGAGAGAGAGAGAGAGAGAGAGAGAGAGGGAGATCCCTTATTGCTTTTTCTAGGTTTTCTAGGTCAAGAAAATGTTATTAAAATTAACATTCTAGACATACAGCTAATCATATTTTAAATTATGCAAGTTCAAAAGTTTGGGGTCAGTAAGATTTTTCAGTGTTTTGAAGAAGTCTCTTTTGCTCACCAAGGCTGCATTCATTTGAGCAAAAATACAGTAAAACAGTAATATTGAGAAATACTATTACAATAAAAAAAAGTTTTTATGTGAATATATTTGCAAATGTAATTTAATTCTCAGCATCATTACTCAGTGTCACATGATTTTTCAGAAATCATTTTAATATGCTGATTTGCTGCTCAAGGAATATGATTATTATGTTGAAAACAGTTGTGGTGCTTCATCTTTTTGTGGAAACCTTTTTTTTTAGGATTCTTTGATAAATAGAAAGTCCAAAAGAACATTTATTTGAAATAGGAATCTTTTGTAACATTATTTCTTTACTGTCACTTTTGATCAATTTAATGCATTCTTGTTGAATAAATGTAATATTTTCTTTAAAAAATATATTACTTACCCCCAAACCTTTGAATGGTTGTAAAATTATAATAATCATCACAATAATTAGGAATAATTATAAATTATAATGAAACACATTAAAACATAAATTCTAAACATAAATTAAATTCTACAAAAAAAGTAGCAGCTTAATAGCCGATGTCTTTAATGAATGCAAATAAATAATTTTTTGTCTGGTCCCATACGCACTGCCAACATGCATCTGTGCTGATTATGTCAGGTTGTTCCTGGTTGTGATGTCCCAGCGGCCCAGAAGTTATTTTCATGGCGTTGGAGCGACGTGAAAGAGGATATTTGAGTTTCCCGGAACTGACATACTGTCTGCGTGTTTCCATGGTGAATAAAACAAAAACATTTGTCCGTTTGAGGTACGAAGTGCTGCGTATGGCATATCCTTACCACTCATTCCTAAAAGATACACTCAGAACATTGGTAATTGCTGTGGTCATTAAGAAGTATCTGTTCAGTTTTTCCAGAAGGCATTAGAGACAATCAGTGCAACTCTACCCCTCTCACTTTCTGCTTCATGTATCTGCATCTGTCTGTGTCTATCCCTGCCTTACTCTCGCTCTCAAATCACACACTGCATGCGTTCTTGGTTCCTTCGAAAGGTTAGCAGTAAAGCGCAGTGCTTTATTTAGTAGACTCTCTCATAGGAAACTCAAATTCAGCAGCTATATTGAGATTGAGATATATAGAGCTCTACATGAATTCTTCAACCGTTCTTTCAGTCGGTTGCGTCATGTCACTGTCCTGCCAGCAGTGCTTGTGAAACGTGCTTAGTGTAATGCTGTGTGTGTGTGAGCAGTCTTTTAACATCTTTAAACACCGTAATTAAAGATGTATGGAAATATACAAATGTGTCATTATGCAAAACATTAACCAGCTGCTCATTAGTTTAAAATAAGCTAAACCGTACCATACTGTATGTTTTGTGTTTGCACTTATAATAACATTAACAATGGACATAACATGTTTTTTTCCCCATTGGAGTCCCTTCTGTCTCATGATTTCTTCCTGTGCAGTATCTGCACTGTGATTCATCAGTTAAGTCAGTTATGCGTATTCAAATGTTCTATGTCAACCTTTTTATCTCGTATCCAAAGGACTTGCTCTGAGGAATGTTTTGAGGAATTCAAGTGTCTGTAGGGCAAAAGGAGTGTCCCGTCACATGATATGAAGTGTGTAAACCTTGCTTGCCCAAGGTGGGTGTTAATAACCGTATTTTTCACCTATTGGATGACATACATGAAAGGTGTCTCCTTTTCTCTAACCTAGCTTCTCATTGACCAATCTACTCTCTCTCTCCTTGTGAGATGATCCAACACACCCGGAGGTGTGTAACTTGTGCTTTGCTTAGCTGTGGGTGGTTCCTCCTAGCCCTTTCTGTGAGACATAGGTGTGCTAAACAGGCAAAATTTTTCTCTATTCTTAGAGTTCTATTTTTGCTCGCTGCACTTTTGCTGATTATCTTCGCAAGTGTTTACTTCACAACTGTTGAGAGTCTGCTGACCATGCAGTTTGATTCTAACGGTTTCTTCCTTGCTCGACTGAGGTGGGAGGAGCCGATGGGATCATAGGACTCTCCCTCTTTGTCTCTTTTACACACACCCCCTCTCATTGCAGCTCTGCCAGTCCGGACTACGCTCACTTCCAAGGAAGGCTGAGTAAAGGAGAGCACAGTTTTCCTTTTCTGAGTTTTTCCTTTGCCTCTGAGAAAGTTTGAGAAGAAAGAAGAAACTCTTTTTTTATTAGGAGGGAAGTTAGCTAAACAACAGCGGACAAACGCAGAATAGCAGGTCGTATTTATTTTTAGCGTCTTTTTTGATTGAATTGGTAGCACGTGGCAGCAGGCTCTGCCACAGGACTGAGGTCACTCAGTGATTTGTTCTTTGGCAAAGCTGGTCCTGTTTATTCAGACGCTGAACGACTAAGGAAGCACAATGGTTGCTGGAATGTTAATGCCCCTAGACAACCTGAAGGCCATCTATGAGCATCTGTTTCGGGATGGCGTCATGGTGGCCAAGAAAGACAAGCGGCCTCAGACCAAACACCCTGAGATTCCTGGCGTGGATAACCTGCAGGTGATAAGAGCCATGGGCTCGCTGAAGTCCAGGGGGTATGTGAGGGAGACCTTTGCATGGAGGCATTACTACTGGTACCTCACTAACGAAGGGATTGTCTACTTGCGCGATTACCTGCATTTGCCTCCTGAGATCGTTCCCACGCCGCTGCAGAGAGTACGACGGCCAGCTGCCACTCTGGCCATCGCCCGCAGGGCAGAACAGGTTCAAGTGGTTCAGGGTCCAACGTCTTATGTTCCCAAACCTGGCAGGATGGGTGCAGAAAAGCAAGAGGCTTTACTGGATCGACAGGAGTATCGTCGCAAAATAGCGAGAATGGATGAGGCTGAAATGACTGAATCCAATGAGAGAACACCAAGATTTAGAGGTCGTCCAATGGCTAGTGGTCAGATCAGACCCAGGGAATCCAAAGAGCAGCCCATGCTTTCTGATACTCGCGATTACACCAAAGAGATGGAACCAAGTGTTAGGAGGAAGGTCGCTATGCATTTGGTCTCCCAAATGCCTCCTATTGAAACGCACCACGCCAAGCCAGTTGAACAGGAAAAGATGGTAGAACTCAAGGAATGCACCAAGACGGCATTTGTTCAGAAAACACAAAAGGTTTATGTGAGCCAAGATGTGCCAACCATTTCTTCAAACGTGGGCGCAACAGCAGTGGAATCCTCTTTGTTTTCTGAAGCAGTCAAAGAAAAGCCCAAAAAAGAAGTGTCTATCAAGGTCTCACGTGAAACAACATCCACAGCAGCTGGAGATGGCAAACCGGCTAAGGATGCTCGTCATCCTGCCCCCTTAAAACCGAAGGTGGAGAAAAGACAGAAAACTACTGTGACGAAAAATGTGCAGGATGTGCCTGCTGTTTCATCAGCAGTGGAAACCTCTGTATTTTCGGTCCATACTGAAGCAGTCAAAGAAAAGCCCAAGGAAGAGGTATTTGCCAAGGTCTTCCAGCAAACCACATCCACTGAAACGGCTAAAGATGCTCCTCAACCCACTGCCTCAAAACTGAAGGTGGAGAAAACACAGAAAACTACTGTGGCCAAAAATGTGCAGGAGGCTTCATCAACAGTTGAGGCAACATCAGGCGAATCCTCTGTGTCTGCTGTTCCTACTGAAGCAGCAAAAGAAAAGCCCAAGGAAGAGGTGTTTATTAAGATCTCTAAGAAAACCACATCCACAGTTGCAGATACTAGCAAAATGGCTAAAGATGCTCCTCGACCTACTCCCTCAGAACAGAAGGTGGAGAAAACACAGCAAACCTTGGTGACAAAAAATGTGCCAGCTGTTTCATCAGCAGTGGAGACAACTGCAGTGAAATCCTCTGTCTTTACTGAAGCAGTCAAAGAAAAGCCCAAGGAAGAAGTGTGTGTCAAGGTCTCTCAAATCACGTCCAAAACAGACAAGGATAGCAAATCAGATAAGGATGCTTCTCATCCTATTCCTTTGAAACCAAAAGTGGAGAAAACGCAGAAAACCACAAAGACAAAAAATGTGCAGGATATACCAACTGTGGAGGCAACAGCAGTGCAGTCCACTATATTTCCTGTCACTGCTGAAACAGCTGAAGAAAAGCCCAAGGAAAAAGTGGAAACCACACACAAAGGTGACAGCAAAATATATAAGGATGCTACTTGTCCTACTCTGTCAAAATCAAAGGTGGAGAAAACGCAGCAAGCCCCAGTGACCAAAAATGTGCAGGATGTGGTAACTGTTTCATCAGCAGTGGAGACAACTGCAGTGAAATCCTCTGTCTCTGCTAAAGCAGTCGACGAAAAGCCCAAGGAAGAAATGTGTGTCAGTGTCTCCCAGGAAACCACACCCAAAGGTGATGGCAAAATAGATAAGGATGCTTCTCATATTACTGCATCAAAACCAAAAGCGGAGAAAACACAGAAAACCACAAAAGCCAAAAATGTGCAGGATATACCAACCGTTTTATCAACAGCAGTGCAATCCTCTCAAGGTTCTGTCTCTGCTGAAGCAGTCAAAGAAAAGCCAAAAGAAGACGTCTTTATGAAAGTCTCCCAGGAAATTGTATTCACAGTAACTGATGATAGTAAAATGGCTAAGGATGCTCCTCATCCTACTCCATCAAAACCAAAGGTGGAGGAAACCCAGAAAACTAAAAATATGCAGGATGTGGCAGCTGCTGCTTCTTCAGCAGTAGAGACAACTGCAGCGAAATCCTCTGTCTCTACTGAAGCAGTCAAAGAAAAGCCCAAGGAAGAAGTGTGTGTCAGTGTCTCTCAAGAAACCACATCCAAAGGTGATGGCGAAGAGGATAAGGATGCTCCTCGTCCATCAAAACCAAAAGTGGAAAAAATACAAAAAAACACAAAGACCAAAAATGTGCAGGATATACCAACCATTTTATCAACAGCAGTGCAATCCTCTGCAGTTTCTGTCTCTACTGAAGCAGTCAAAGAAACGACTAAGAAAGATGTGTGTATTAATGTCTCTGTAGAAACCACACCCACAATCGATAGCGAAATGCATAAGGATGCTCCTCATCCTTATCCATCAAAACCAAGAGTGGAGAAAGCACAGAAAACCATGCTGACCAAAAATGTGCAAGAACAACCAATCAAGACAGACGTTATAAATCAGACCTCCATTGCACCGCATGATGTGCCTGCTGTTCATGTCGATGAGACGAAGTCAACTACCTCCATTAGCACCCAGCTGCCTGTCAAATCTCTAGAATCAGCAGCGCCACCTCTCCCTAAGAAAGAAGATTTGTCAAAACACATTGCTGAAAAGAAATCAGAGATTAATCTGCCACTGCAGGTCTCTGTAGAGAAGACAGCATCTAGCACTGTTCAAATGATTGACAAACAACAGAAAGCACTTGGTTCCCAAAAAACAAAGGATGTCCAAGAAGCACCTAAAGATAACAACACTCGTCCTTTGAAAGTTCATGAAAAGGTGGAGATTCCTCGTGCCATTTCTACAGCTGAGGTCAAGGCAGAGGTTAAAGTTCGCAAGCCTGATCTCAGCCCTGAATCTCAGTCCCCGTCTACAGCTGCTGAAGTAAAGATTACCACAGCTGACTCCAGCAAGACTTCAGAAGTCCAAGCGCAAACGCCTAAGAAATTGGAATCTGATACAGATTCTGATACTGTATCACCAATAAAACTGACTGAGGAGCCTGTAGTCACTACAGCTGCAAAAGACGGAGATACAGAGGACGCCTCAAAGCCTTCGAAAGGAAAGAAGAAAAAGAAGAATTCTGCAAACAAAACTTCAGCTGGAAAACAAGTCCCACCGCCTATAGCTGAGACAAAGGTGAAAGAGCTAAAGACCGAGAATGCTGGTCAGGTTGACCTTCTTAAGGTCGAGGGCCCAACAAATGATTCTGCAAAGACATCCCCTGAGGGAATGCACGCTGTGGAGAGCATGCAGCCAACAGCTGTACAGAATGAGGCCCTGGCTCACAAAGGGGAGGTGGAGCCTGCGCAGCCCTTGCCTGAAAAACGGGAGGTTCTGAAAGGAAAAACATCCTCCTCGCAGAGACAGTGGGAAGCACCAGCAGCCTCAGCGTCAGCAGCAGCCTCGGCCCAGCTCAGCCCCCTCCCCGAGCAGGGGGAACCTCCCAGAGTTGCACAACACACGCCTGCTCCTGACACACAGCAGAGCTCAGAGAAGCAGAGCAGGCTTTCGGATAGCAAGGCCCCTGCACAGCCTATCATCACTGACCCTCTTCCTGCCGACGAGAACACCTGCAACGCGCAAGAGCAGTCCGTAGACGACGCCATGCGGAAGAAGATCGTTGTGGTAGAGGAAGTTATTGAAGTGCAACAGATTGCCAGTCCTGTTGCAGACCAAGCTGTTACACCCCCAGTGCCAGAGATCACAGGAGATGAATTGGACTACGATGTCTTGGAAGAACTGGCCATAGAGCGTGGCCTCCTGCAGGGTGCCGTTGAAGAGACTTGCTGGGATCATTCACTCCAAGAGCCCGAGGAGAAATCCTTCCCCAACTTCGTAGAAGGTATGAGTCCTTTTCATGAGTCTTTCTTTAATGTGCTTTGATGTTGGTTGCACTGCTCCGGTTTCCATCCCGTATTTGCTGTGTGGGAGGTTCAAGGTGACTGGTGTGGTGTCGGAATAGTTGTGCTGTTATTAGATGGTTGGGCATGCTTTGCTTGAGAGGCGTGTAACTTTATATGCGTGTTGAGTGAACGGTGCCTGAGCTTTATGTTAAGTGAATTAAGCATTAATAAGTAGGTTTTGCAGAGAAGCTTATACTGCAGTGCCGGCAACTTGTATCAAAAAATGTGGAGCTTTTTTCAAAACATGTTTTGTCTATGCAACAATGTGCATTTATTTATAAGTGCTATTTTTCAGCTTGTCCTGCTTGTCACTGCTGCTTTCCACAAGCACAAATCTGGGTATATTTGTTCCAGTTATTTCGAGAAATTAACCTCTCGCAGTGATTCATGCCACATCCACACCCAACACATCAAATTATGCGTGCAAAGTTTCGCAACCACCCTTTTGCTCTGTAGCATATTGGGACTGGCTAGTGATTCTGTTGCAAGTTTTCATTCTTTTCAGGGGGAATCCCAGACTGCCGGTAATGAGCAGTTAAGCAGCACTGTGTTTCTGACAATACAACAATGTTTGGAGTCAGCTCTCCACTCCCTGCTGCCAAACACAAACCACAACTATAGTTTTTCAGTTCTCTGAATAGAAAAAAGAGCTCCTCTAAAAATCAATGCTGTGCTTAGAGGACCCTGTGTGCCACTTCTGCAGGAAGCACGTGTGTTTGGTTATTTCCTCTGGTTTGTTACCCCTTGTCTCTGGTTTCCAGTGGTCAACAATTAGCTGGAGACTTCTGCTTTGTCACTTTGTTTATTATGTAATAGGACATACCAAAGATACAGCTGTCCATCCCAAATTCCACCATTGTCTTCCTCCCCTAGTGCAACAGAGATCTCTGGAATGTGTGTTGCAGTTGCTTTTGTTGTTTTTATAGCTGTGCATTTCAGTTTATGCTGGTATAAATGCAAAGACATTTAAAGAAACTACTGGAACAATCTACTATTTGTAGAGTTAGTGAATCTGGGTATATGCATTAAGAAATGACAGCAAGTAGTTAAAGAGTTTGCACAATCTAATGGGTGTGTTCAGTAGGTGTATCCAAAAACAATTAGCCTTTTGTTTAAAGGTTTTGTGAGTCACTTCATCATGGCAGGTCTTTTGAGAAGCCACATTTCCCATATTCCAACCAAATGCAACTGGATTTGAAGAGGAAAAAGAATTTATACAATATTATGCTCAGACTAACTAACTTGAGTCAGATGTGCTTGAGGTTTCATCTCTGTAATTTTCTGCTGCCCCCTACTGTATCTCTACAGATCTGTCTCTCTGCATCACCTTCAGCAGATCTTTTCAATAGAAGCTCAGTCATGTGGTGTTAAGTGAAATTTCAGCCTGCGGCTAGGACGGAAATTATTTTTTGTACCTAGTAGCTTTTTGTTCTTCTGTAATGGCTTAGAAGCGATGCTTTATTCATTAGTACTCCTTGATTAATACATTGGACTTGTATGAGCAGAAGTTTGAGATCTCCTTTGGCACTGTTCTCTGTTCAAGCAGCAGTGTGTTGTGCAAGTGTGTGTTTCTGTCCGCCTCCACCATAAATTCTTGCATGTTTGTGATGTTGTGACAGGTGCTTTCTGATGTTCTCAATGCCACATGATTGTGGTGCAGTTCATGAGTCATGCAGTCAGTTCAGAGGAGCCAAATTAATCTGACCTTTAAGAAGTCTTATCGGACACATTCTAGCAGTGTCTGGTGCTGTGACTCCTATAACTGGCCCTTCACCTCTTGTGAATGGAGACCTTTTGTAGAGATGGGTCTATATTCTTGATATAGATTAAATTCAGGCTAGTTGTCATACTTTTGACTCAAGTGAAATTTTCTCAGAGTATAGGGTTATATTTGAAAGTCAGTTTCTGTTTAGACAGAATTTTTTTTTCATGCTCACAATTTCATTGTTCACTTCTTACCTAGCTTTTTTTAAAAGTATGATATTGGATTTTTTGTACACATAATGCTTAAAGTTTTAACATCCTAAAACCTGGTTAACATGCAACACATGATATCGCTGGCTAAGGAATCCACACATTCTTATTAATCTTGTTTACATTTATAAATATTAATTCTTAATTCTTAATGTATCAGAATGTAAAAATATGTTACTCTTAATGTAAAAAGTGTATTAGAAATAGCATAGACCTGTACAAAAACCTTTTTTACAGCTTTTTTCCAGTTGTGCAATTGTACTTTTGACTCTCAATATTATAGTTATTATTATACCACGAATAGTTTCATCGTGTGACAACTAGCCCCGGTCTCCCCTACATCTTCTTTCTTGTTTAATATTTATGAGGTGTCAATGGATGGGCTACTCTAACACCTGGTAGGATTATGACCTTATAGCTGTCAGCTAATGTTGACATGCATGCATGTATAAAACGGGTTGCTCTGTCTTTACTGGTGCTTTATACTGTCTTACCTAAACCAAGAGATTATGCACTGGCTCGGAGATAATAAACCCATTAAACTATATTAATATGTCAACTTTCTGAATTAGGAAACTAAGCAAGAGATCTGATAAATAGCCTACTTTTCACGAAAAATGTAATGGTCCCAGACCTAGCCATATCAGTAAACCATCAGTGCTTCTACAGACAGAAATATGTAAAAGATGTATGATACATTCCTCTGAAATAACAGTTTTGATGTCACAGAGTCTTTTCTGTCAACACCCCCAGGTGAATGTATAATGACACACAAAAACATATAGTTTTCACAGAGGAACTGATTTTCCTCTATGCTGTGTGAGTTGTCATTTTTTGTTATGTTGGTTCACTGGCTCATCTGTATGATGTATGATTGTTTTGACTCATAAAATGACTCATAAAAGTAAATGTTTGAAGTTGTAAGTGAAACAAAGATTATTGGAGTACATTTTACAAGAAAATTTCTTTCTACTTAAAAATGTAGTTTAATTCAATGTGTTACTTGCCATTTATATTATTTTAATAATATTTTAATAAAATTATATATTATTTTAATTTACTAGTTTAAATGATTTCAAAGTAAATCCTACAACACTTTTTTCAGTGTACAACAGGGGTCTCTGACTTTGTGCTTCTGACACCTGCTGGTGTGGATGAAACATCATGGAAATTAGTTGCCATGATTATTTATTTATTTATTGACTGACAATAAGAGGTCATAGCATAATAAAGAATTTGATTGGTCAAAAAAATGAGTAGCTTTAAAACTTCTGAATGCATCTTTGACTAGTCTATCATTTACATGCTAAATCAAGATGATTCATTTCAGTGTACATTAATTAAACAGGAAAGCTGACCCACTCTTTTTTAGACCTATTTATAATGTATTAAACAGCCTCAGTGGAGTCAGACTGGGCCTGATTACTAGTTTTGATCAGTCAGTGCTCATCTCATTTTCCAAATAGTTCACATGCCAAGTCCTGCAAATTAGACACCTACAAATACTTAATTTAATCACAGTCATAAGCGCTGTAAGCATGTGGGGGAAATGAAATTGACACTCTGTCAACACCGTAATTCACAATGCCATATGCATTTCAGTGGATGCATTTCAGTGGATTGCTGTGTAAAACTCTGCTATATTTAGTTTATGTCCTGCTTCATGGGTGGCCACTAAAGGCTCGTGATATGGCACAAGCGATTTCCAGTCATGCCAGGAATCCCATTCCATATATAAATGAAAAAAAACATGAACCCTGGCACTCATGTGCTTTTCCAAGTGTGAAAAGGAGTACACTTTACTTTAGCATACTTTTAAAAAGAGTATTTATTATGGAAATAATATGCTTTTAAAAATATACTTAAAGGAACACTCCACTTTTTTTGAAAATAGGCTCATTTTCCAACTCCCCTAGAGTTAAACAGTTGAGTTTTACCATTTTCCAATCCATTCAGCTGATCTCCGGGTCTGGCGGTAGCACTTTTAGCTTAGCTTAGCATAGATCATTGAATCTGATTAGACTGTTAGCATCTCGCTGAAAAATGACCAAAGAGTTTCTATATTTTTCCTATTGATATTACGCAGCACCTTAAAATAGGCTAACTTCCGTCAACATAACCAACATGACCACCTGCTTGCACCGGGAGCGTGCTGGGGACTATTTTCAGGCACTGCGTAATATCATTGCGCCTGCTGCACCCATGGTATGGCAGCAAATTTCCTTGATTATTACGCCAGAATGAGAGTATAGTTCCTAGCCATATCGGCCTAGAAAATCCCAACTGTTCATGGAAAATGAGCCTATTTTAAAAAATAGTGGCGTGTTCCTTTAAGTGCGAACGGAATATAGTGTTTTCGGACAATTAAATGTACGTTATTTGCAATTGAAATAAAATATATTGTCCTTTAAATGTATGTTAAATGCAATTAGTTGAGACTTTGGAGTGTTTTTGACCAACATATATAGGACCTTTAAGTAAATTTTTATAAGTAAATTTCATAATTACGTCTATGGTCTTTGAAATATGGTTAAAGTTTTACTGCTGAATGTACTGACAAGCATTTATGACAAACTAAAATATATTTTAATTTCTTTTCTATTGAAACTTGTAGTAATGATGAAGTTGCAATTTAGTACATTTAAAATATATTAACTTTAAATTATATATTGAATAACTCACTTTAGTTAAAATTATAATCAAGGGTTTTACATGTGCTTTAGTATGTTAGTCAACACTTCAAAATAAATGTACTTCTTTAAAGCATAACACATTTTTTTAATATGATTTAATGATTCAGTTATTTAAAAACTTTGAATTTGATGTTATTACAAAGTGTTCTTTTTTTTTAAAGTGTGTTAAAGAGAGACACTTTCATGACTGTTTCTTAAGTCACTTAAATTCAATAAGATCAGGCGCAAAAATAACTGTGTCCACACCAGAACTGAAGCAAACGCTGAGGGAG